TCAGTACCAGGCTCACTTACCAGGCCTCACTACCTAGGCTCAGTACCAGGCTCACTACCAGGCTCACTACCTGGTTCAGTACCAGGCTCACTACCTGGCTCAGTACCAGGCTCACTACCAGGCTCACTACCAGGCTCAGTACCAGGCTCACTACCTGGCTCAGTACCAGGCTCACTACCAGGCTCAGTACAGGCTCAGTACCAGGCTCACTACCAGGCTCACTCCCTGGCGCAGAGTTGGTTTTCAGTAAATATTTGGTACTTGAATGAGCGAGTTCAGGCTAATGCCCACCAGCTGTGAATCTATCCTGGGGTCCGGAGTCCTCAGAGCTCAACTGGTTTCATATTTTACTGGGACTGGCAAGGTGGGCTTTTCCTGCCCCATAGCACGCGCGCCTCTTGGTCTGTCACTATTCTCTGTGGCAGACGCTTTGGATCATCCCACATCCCTTTACTTGACCTTGGCCTCCGTCAGGTCCCTTAGGTTCCTGGTTTCTGCTTCCTTAAACCTGAGGTACATTTTCCATCCTCCCTATACAGTCGTCCCTCCTCATCGGTGGTTTCACTTTCTGAGGTTTCCGTTGCCTGCCGTCAACTGCAGTCCAGAAATATTATATGGAAAGTTCCAGAAATAAACAAGTCGTAAATTGAGTTGTGTGTGTTCCGAGTAGCATGATGAACCCTCTCGCCATTTTGCTCAGCCCCACCCAGGACATCACTGACCCCTCTGTCCAGGTAGATGTCTCACCCATAAGTCATTCAGTGGCTGCCACGGTCATCAGGTGGACTGTGGCGGTGTCACGGTGCCTGTGGGCAAGTCACCCTGACTTTATAACGGCCCAAAGCGCAAGAGTAGTGATGCTGGCAAGTGGATATGACAGAGAGAAGCTGTAAAGGGAAAATGTGGAAGTTCTCCACTTTATAAGTAAAGAAAAAAATCATATGCTGAGGTTGCTAAAGTCCACGGTAAGAATGAGTCTTCTCTCCATGAAATGGCTTAGTTTATAAGTTAAAGTTAAACTTTATTGTAGGTTTTTATGTCGAGGAGAAAACAGTATATCTTGCCCTGACCGGTTTGGCTCAGTGGATAGAGCGTCGGCCTGCGGACTCAAGGGTCCCAGGTTCGATTCCGGTCAAGGGCATGTACCTTGGTTGCGGGCACATCCCCAGTGGGAGGTGTGCAGGAGGCAGCTGATCGATGTTTCTCTCTCATCGATGTTTCTAACTCGCTATCCCTCTCCCTTCCTCTCTGTAAAAAAATCTATAAAATATATTTTTTAAAAAAAGAAAACAGTATATCTTCAGTTTAGCACCATCTGTGGTTTCAGGCCTCCAGTGGGCGGTCTTGGAGGCAATCCCCACAGAGAAGGGGGGCCTACTGTGTCTGCATTTTAGTGCAGGCCATTTTTCTCTTTCCTTCGTTATCTTGTGTGATATTTGATATAAGCAGGAGAATATGTGTAACATAATCAGTTATGAGGTACAACTCCCTGCACACCTATGAAGCCACCTCCTACCTGACAGCATGACCTGCACCAGCTCCACAGCAGGTGCTCCTCCCTGGCCCACACCTTGCCTCCAGGTAATTCTAGCCTGAAGTTGGGGTTTCTCATCCTCTCACTCTGGTTTTCTTTCCAAATGTAGGCTTATTGCACATATAGATAATCCCCAACACGCACTAGGTAGGCTTCTTATTGAGCTTTATAAGAATGATTTCACACTTTGTGAATTCAGTTTGAATTTTCCATTCAACATTTATGCTTCTAAGGTTCATCTCTATTGTTGTGTGTGGCTGTGGTTCATCAATTTTATTAGTGACCACAGCGACATCGTGTTGTGTAACAGACCGTGATTTGTCTGGTCTCCTGTTGATACTTGTTTAGATTGTTTTCCGTTTCTTGTTTTATTTTGCTATTTTGGACAAGATTGCAATAAACATTGTTGTTTATGCCTCTTTGTCCACCTACATGTATGAAGCTTCTCTAGGTACTAGACCAAAGGAGTGGACTTTCTGGGTGGAAGGCTATGCAACAGTTCAGCTCTAAAAGGAAATGCCAAAGTGTTTGTCAAAGTGGTCTGTTTATACGCATGCCCCTAAAGCAGCGATTTTCACCCTGTGTGCCGCAAGAATCGGTAAAACATGGAATACCTGACTACTTAGTCAGGGGCACTGATGTCTTTTCCCTTAGATTGTCAAATTAAAAAATGGTAATAGCCAACACAATAATAGCAATACCAATAAAATAAAAAGTTTTTATCCCATTGAAAAACTTACAGCTCTGAATTTATAAACATATTCTCCTATATTGTCCTTTGAAGAATTTAAATGCATGTGGAATTCGCATTTAAGATAAATGTGGAATTAATTTTTGTGTGCATGGTCTGAAGTAGGGCTGCAGTGTGAATGAATCAAAATCATACCTATTTTAGTAATTATGTGTGCCATGAGATGGAACAGGTTGAAAAATGGCTGCACTAAAGTATACAATTCCATTGGTCCCTATCCTCTCCAACACTTGCCATTATGAGATGTGTTACTTTTTCCCTTTTCAGATGTAAAACTATATCTCCTTTCCATTGTAATTTGCATTTTCCCAAGAAAATAGTTGCGGATTGTTTTATGTGCTTATTGACCATTCACGGTTCCTTTTCTGCGAATGTCTCTTTTTGCCCATTTTTCTGTTGGGTTGAGTTTTTCCTATTGGATCAAAGTTCTTCATATATTTTGGATCCAAATTCATCATCGGTTACAAGTATTGCCTATATTTTCTCCCAGTTTGTGGCTTGACTTTCTACTTTCTTCACGGTGTCTTTATTAACAGAAGTTTTAATTGCAATGAAGTTGAATTTATCAACCTTTTCTACTGTAATTAGAATTTTTATCTTGTTGAAAAACTTACAGCTCTACACTGAATTTACAAACAGATTCTCCTATACTGTCTGTTGAGGAATTTAAAATGCACGTGGAATTCGCATTTAAGATGCACGTGGAATTAATTTTTGTGCCTATGCCATGAAGTAGGGCTCCAGTGTGATTTTTTTCATATAGGAAAAACAATTATCCTGGAAGAGCATATATTTAGATTGAGTATATTTACACTGTGTATTGCTAGGAGAGGAAAGCGTACAATATAACAGAATATATGGTATTTCAAAAGCATAAAACACAATCTCTGTAGTAATGAGTCTATGTACAAAACTTAAAGAAAAGGTATTGGAAGGACCTACGCCAAAATACCGACAGAGATTCTCTTCGGATGGTGGGATCATTGGTGACTTTGTGTATTTCGTTGTTGTTCTTCTCTGTATTTCCTAAATTCTCTTTATTGAGCACGGATTTGGTTTTGTTTAAAAAAAAAGAAACCACAGCATTGAGAAATAAGGTAGTGTCTATAGATGGCAATGCAGTGTCCGCACACCTTAAAGATAAATCGTGTTGGAAAGAGAAACCATGAATTGAAATCTTCCAACGGAACCTTTTTTAAAAGCCCCTCTATCGCTGGGGGTGGGGTGGGGGGACACGATGTGAGTTATGCCGTCAGCCTCAGTAAAAGGTGGAGAAGGGCGGCATTCTGAAACCTGAGGGTCCTGCAAACAGTTACATGAAACGCCTCTCCCCTGAGCCGTTTGCCCTAAGGCATGTGCGGCTCCTTGGAGAACAGGGTGTCGTTGGTGACGGAATCATTTCTTCTTTCCCAACAGCAGATAATGAAAAGACTCATAAAGCGGTATGTTTTGAAAGCGCAAGTAGACAAAGAGAATGACGAGGTGAACGAAGGTGAGCATCCCCAAACCGAGAAACATCCTTTTACAAGTAACTGCACGGACCTGGGAAACTGCATAGCGAAGGATCCTTTAAAAATCCAACCTCAGGGAACAGTTGGGGTCCTTCCGAGACTGGCAGGAGAATCTTACGTTACATTTCTAAAATTCTGTCTTTTTAAAGAAACAGTTTTTAACATGTCAGTCAGCGACCATTTATCTCTACTCCAGTGATGGCGAACCTATGACACGCGTGTCAGAGGTGACACGTGAACTCATTTTTTTGGTTGATTTTTCTTTGTTAAATGGCATTTAAATATATAAAACAAATATCAAAAATATAAATCTTGGTTTTACTATGGTTGCAAATATCAAAAATTTCTATATGTGATACGGCACCAGAGATAAGCTAGGGTATTTCAAAATGCTGGCACGCCGAGCTCAAAAGGTTTGCCGTCACTGCTACTCCAAAGCCCTGATTCTTGGCATGTGAAGACTGCTGTCTGTCTTTTAATTTCCTATTAACGTAAGATGGTCAGGAATTTCATTCAGTGAGTTCACACGAGGGTTAACATTTCCCCGGTGATGCAGGTGAAATAATGGCTGCCGGAGACAGAACCCACACTTCTCCAGACAAACTTTATTTTTTTGTCCAGAGAGAAACCTCTAGCCCATTTTTCCCGTCTGGTTTTCTCTTGCCTTCCACCTTTCTCCGTGGCCCCTTACTTCAAAAGGCCTATTTTTCCAGGTAAATCCTAGGCAGGGCATCCGTTGTGAACTATACGTAAAAGTTTTCATCAAAGGCAGGGGTGTAGGCCAATGCACCTGCTCGGAGTTGAAAAGAAACCGACCTGGAGAAATAAGTTCAAAACTATGGTTTACAACACCAATCAGATGCCAATAGACCTTTTGGCCCTGTTAAGAGAAAAAAGAGCTAAAAACTCAACAAAACTGTTGCTGAGCTTTGAAACCAGTATTTGATTAAGGCAAGGAAACCCTTGCAAATCTCAGTCAATCCAGCGGAGTGCGTCTGTAGAGAAGAAATCTGTAGAGACGTGAGTGACAGCCAGCAAACTTCCAGGCGCGGGGACAGTGGGAAGGAGACAGACCCGGAGTGGGACATCTGATCGGTTCCGTCACTCCCTGAAAACAAAGCACAGCTCAGTGCTGGGGAACGTGGTTGGCCAGGGCAGCGTCAGAAACAAGGAGCCACCTCCCACAGCCTGCACCACGGAGGAACCTGGATGAACGAGAATCGGCGTTTTGAACAAAGTTCTAACTAAGAAAGTGCATCACGTATTGTAACCACCTCCTGTTATAAACGAGGAAACTAAAGCCAAAAGAGGTCGGGTAATTTGTTTCCCAATTCAGAGTTGGCAGACTGAATACACTTAGTGTTCAGTACCCCGTAACCCAGAAACAAGGGACAAGGATACTGTAGGGAGGCGATGGTGGGCTTAGGGGCCACATATGACACTGAAGGGTGTGAGAATCGGTTTCCTCCACCAAAGTCTGCCTGGGTTTCCGATTAGATCAGCTTCTTCCCTCTGGGCTGCTGGATACTAAAAGGAAGAATCACTTTTTTTTTTTCTGCCACAAAGGAACCTGAAAATGCCTTGTGTGTATTCTTGGGGAAGAGTTAGAATTCCTAAACAATGAAAAGGGTCTGACCTTTATATAATGAAAGAATGTAGAAATGATACTTTACAAACAGCATAAAGATACCAGGAAAGACCAGGAAAGGTAGGTTTGACATGTGATTCTCCTAAAAGCTGTTAAAGTGCCAGTGATTTGAAGAATCATTTCTTGGATTCAAGATAAATTCCTGCTTCAAAGTTCACCTTTCAAGACCAAGGGCTTACCTCCATTCCGATCATTTGCAAGAGAATCAGTTTTTCGTCGCAATGGACATATGCGCCAAATACTGCCATGCTGAGTTCTGGGAATAGTTGTGTGTGTTTTATTTAATTTTTTAAAAATATATTTTATTGATTTTTTTACAGAGAGGAAGGGAGAGGGATAGAGAATTAGAAACATCGATGAGAGAGAAACATCGATCAGCTGCCTCCTGCACACCCCCCACTGGGGATGTGCCTGCAACCAAGATACATGCCCTTGACCGGAATCGAACCTGGGACCCTTCAGTCCGCAGGCCGACGCTCTATCCACTAAGCCAAACCGGTTAAGGTGGAATAGTTGTGTTTTAATCGCCAAAAAAATCTGCTGTGGAGGCGCCCGTGATGTCCACACAGCCAGTGGCGTCCCGGCCGAACCCCTTAATTCGCCGTTGCTCCTCGCTTGCTTACATGTCCGCCCTCTGTGCACCACAGACTAATCTGTCTGTTCCTTGATTCCACGTTCGTTGCCACTGCTTTCCTTGATAAACACGCTCTTTCTTCTTCCTCCCTTCCCCTTGCTTCAAACTTGACCTAAATTCACTTCTCCCATGTCTTTGCCTGTTACATAGACTGAGTCATTGTTAGGAACCTTTTGTTTTGCTAGGATTCCCTTCCACACTAGCCACGGGGGAGGATCTCTGTAGGTGCCACCCTGCATGGCTGAGGGACCCAAGAGCCTCCTGCAGACAGGAAGGAGGCCCCTGCCTGTAGGTCCGATGACAGGGAAGCCACCCTGCTTTCAGCGTTGGCTGAGCCACAGGACGATACTTGCACTGGGCTTTCCTATTAAAAACCTAGCTGGACAGCTTTTATAGCTACTTACAAAGGTCATCATATTTTTAAAGACAGGCATTTCTTAAAGGGAAAAATCTATTTTGGTGATGTGAGGGGGCCGATGTATTTATAGCGCAGGCATTTCACTCTGTGTCCTCTTCTAAATCCAAAGAGGAAATGACCGATTCTGTGTTTCTTTGATGCCAATACTTCAGGTGAATTGAAAGAAATCAAGCAGGACATCTCCAGCCTTCGTTACGAGCTGCTGGAGGACAAGAGCCAGGCGACCGAGGAGCTGGCCGTTCTCATTCATAAGCTCAGTGAGAAGCTGAGCCCCAGCTCGCCGCGGTGTGAGTGAGCGGAGCCGGGACGGCGGCTTGGACTACAGCGCACATGTGGGCAATAATATTCCCAAGGATGAAGTACTTGAAAAACCACGGTGTACATTTTCTAGTGTGAACTGCCTTTATCATGTGAATCTTTGAGAGGGAGGTCTTCGCGATTTTACTGTTTCATCCCCTGTAAATGGTCTTCATTCGCCTTGTCTGCCTTGATGTGACAAACAATGGCACGGCCTTGTACGGAAAGGCCCGATTGCCGCCATTCTTGTCCATTTTAGAATGAACTCCACTACATCTTTGCACTCTCTGGGGGCCTCCAAGAGACTCTAAGTAAGCTCCTTGGGGACAGGGACTATGTCTTATTCATCTTTGTGTCTCCAGCGTCTAGTCCAGTGCCTGGGACAAAGGAGGGAGGTGCGCAGTAAATGTTGAAACCACCTGAACTGAACTGCCACCAAAGTACAGATACAAATAACGGGGCCATCACTACGCAGCACACCTTCTCTTGTCCAAGTGCTGAAGCGGTTTTTTTAAAAATAGAAACTGAAGACAACTCACAAGCAGCCATGACTTGCTCAGATTTTTTTCTTAGAATTTTTGGCATCACTAATAATCCTAGAACCTTCGAGCCCTGAGGAAGAATTTAACAGCGAAATGGGTTCATGGAAAATATCATTATGTTAAAGTTTCATAGAATTGTTCAGAGTAAGTCATTAAAGGCTTTCCTGAAGGATATACTGTATGTTTTCTGTCTTAGATGTCCACTTGTTGTTTCTCAGTCATGTGAATTTAGTCAGCAGGACGGTGGGTTTTTTTAAGGGGGCTCTGGGGGTTGTCGTTTTGTTAGGACCTCCTGACTTCCGCCTCTGCGGTTTGGAGGGCATGCTTAGGGGAAGAAGCAGGGCAGAGCCGCGGCTGGGGACCTGGCGGGGTCTGTCCAAGCATCGCCGGGCGGGTGTCGTTTCCCTGTGAGGCCTCCCTTTGCCCACAGTGCTTGGCATCCTTTTTCTGATCGGAGCATTTCGCTTATACTTTCTACACAAAACAGATTGCGATGTATCTGTTCTCGGCTCATTGTGTAACTGAGCTGAGTACCGGTGATATCTACGGCGCCTCAGGGCTTTAACAGGAGAGGGGATACAGGCCAGTAAGTTCCCTCATCTCTTCACAGACCACGAAACACTCAAATACATTACTCCAGGTAGGTGTGAATGGCTCATAGAGTTACGCTTAAGCTCCTGTTCCATCTGTTCGCATCAAGACTTAGAGGATTACCAATTGTGGCCACAACTCAAAGGTAGTTTTGTAGGCCTTAGACACCAGTTTAATACATGATACTTTAAAATCATTGCTCTCGCACAGCAAGGCTTTCTAGACACGAAGACAAAACGACCGTGAAGCAGAACCACATAAAGCTCTTTACAGATGATTTCTTAATTTCTAATTCTTGGGACAAAAAACATTAAGAAAAGAACTTTATACATTTTTGCTACCACTGTAGACTATTTCACTAACTTTTATGCTATTCTAATAGTACTTTGTCTTAAATGTTTTTCAGACTTGGTGTATTTAATGTTATGCCTCAGAACTGAATAAAATACTGAATTTTTTCATTGTCATATGTTTCTCTACTCTATTACAATACTCTCCGTCTTACAGTGTTGTCTAGGATTCCAAGTGTGGACGTTTTGAATGGAATATTTCGTAATACTCCCATCTGGGGGTTGGGGAAACGTTGAGTGGAAACGTGTCCGATTCAGCTGGAGACATTCAGCCTAGGGTCAGCTAACAGCATTGCTTAAGTCCATGCCTCCCCCAACTGTAGAACTCTCAGCACAGGTTAGACACCTTCCTTTCTGTTACGGCCGAATTGTGTGTTCCCCTCCCCCACCCCAAATTCACTTGCTGAAGTCCTAACCGCCAGGACCTCAGAATGTGACGGAATTTGGAGATGAGGCTTTAGGAGATAATGACATTACAATGAAGTCACTAAAGTAGGGCTGACTCTGATAGGACAGGTGCCCTTATTAGAGGAGGAGGTTAGGACACAGACACAGAGGGAAGACAGGTGAGGTCACAGTTTGAAGATGGCCACGGAGAGATGCCTCGGGAGATTGGCTTGGTTCCCTGCTGACACTCTGCTCTTGTACTCCTAAGCCAGTGAGATCCTGTGAGAAAATGAATTTCTGTTGCTGAAGCCACCCAGCTGGCGGTAATTTGTTATGGGGGCCCTATCTTTCTAATACTCCTTCCAATCCCCTAAATTCTATACAATTCTGTCTTAGCCTAGCTCCTCTATGTCTGTTTTTCAACTTCTAAAATTTATCTGTATTTTTGTTGAGTCTAAATTAATATGGATTTTCCCAAATTGTTACAGAGCAAACCCATCTCAAGGCATTACTGTTTATTTTAATGTGGTTATATTGGCCTCAGAAAAAAGAATTATCTGGAGCAGCTTGGAACCTGGGCAAAACCTCAGATCCTTCTGTTAGAAATGATTTATCTTCCTAAGAAGCACCCCTTCTCAGGGCTTTAATTATATACATATTTGCCCTAGCTGGTTTGGCTCAGTGGACAGAGCATCAGCCTTCCGACTGAAGGGTGCTGGGTTCAATTCTGGTCAATTTTTTTTTATTGATTTCAGAGAGGAAGGGAGAGGAAGAGATGGAAGCATCAATGATGTGAGATAATCATTGATCAGCTGCCTCCTGCATACCCCACACTGGGGATCAAGCCCACAACCTGGGCATATGCCCTGACTGAGAATTGAACGGTGACCTCCAACTTCATAGGTCAACGCTCAACCACTGAGCAACACTGGTCAGGCTCAGGGGTTTAATTCTTGGTCCACAATCATTGTGCTCTCTTCCCTAGCAAACCACAGAAACTAGGAAAGGTACAGTATCTCATTCACTGACAGTATTTCTGTAGGCGGAGCATACAGTGTGCACTAAGGAGGGACTGATGGACAGGAGTCAAGGAATGTCAGCTTTGGGTCAGATCCTGGGTCACCATAGGTCAGCAGCAGTTTCAGGGTCCCTGTGGCCTTTTCAGGAGGTCTGTGATTTTGAAACTGTATCTTCATAACACTGAAATGTTATTTGCCTCTTTCACTGTGTTGACATTTGCACTGATGGTACAAAAGCCTTGGAGGTTAATACTGCCGGTTCTTAAGCATGAGTCAAAGCAGTGGCTTCAAACTGTAGCAGTAATCTCGTACTCATCACGCCCACATTGTCAGGAAACAAGCGCTACCTATAAAAATGTGTGTTAGGAAGCAGTAAAAATTGTTAATTTTAAGTCTTTACTTTTGAGTGTCTCTGTATTCTGGGTGATGATATGGGCAATATGCATACATCGTTTCTACTGAATACCAAAGTACATCAGTTCTCTCAAGGAAAGGCACTGGTGTGATTATACTTGGGTTGCTAGCTGAACTCCTGTTTTGTTTTGTTTTTTCATGGAACATTATTTTTGAAAGCACAATTAACAAATTATTATTTGGATTTGGATATTTGGCATTCAATTCACTTTCTTGTGAATTGAAGAAGTGAACCTATCGTTTCAAGGAAAACAATGGATATGTTACCAATGCTTAAATTGGAGCCTTTACGCACAAATTAGAGTTTGGCAAAATTTGTATCCACCATCTGAGGTTGACAGCTTTCTAATACTTAAAATATTTTCTGATGAAATCCGTGGTGATATTAACAAATGGGATTTTTGAATGTTGTATGATGAAGCCACATTGCAACCAACTTTTCAAAAACTACCACTTCTTGGGATTGGATCAAATTTTCTTCATATACTTAAAAAACCACACACATGTATACCAATAGATTGAACGCAGCAGTAGAATTGGGACTCCCTTACTTACTATCCTGGTGGACAGTAAATAGATTTGCAAAACACTTTCATTAAAATATTTAATGATTTTATTTTTAAGCATATTTTTTTAAAGTTTCAGTTCTCATTTCTAATACGGTAAATATCAGTAGGTAACATATAAACAAAAGGTCTGTGGGGCCCTCAAAAGTTTGTAAGAATATTGTAAAGGGATCCTAAGGCCAAAAGCTTGAGAACTGCTGCGGTAGGCTAACGCCTATAACGGTGAAAATTCGGTGAAAATAACGGTGAAAATAACGGTGAAAATTCGCTGAGGGACCCTTTCCAATGCGGGAGAAAGAGGCCGGAATGTAGGCGTCTCCGCATCAATCCTTTTCGTTCAAAAAAGACTCAACAAGTGCAGCTCAGGGCAGCGGCGGGGTGGAGCCAAGACGGCGTCCCGGTCTCCCTGGAAACCACCTCCCGCGCTCCGTCCCTCTGCTCCTCTGATTGGAGCAGGTCGAAAAGGGGCGTGGCTTTCCTTCGTCCGCGGCCCCCTCGCAGGAACGTGTTGACGTCACACCGGACGCCGTCGCCCCGAGGCCCGCGGTTGCATCCCCCGCTGCGGCCGCTGCGCTGGGGTCGCCCTCCGAGGGCCGCGCGCTGAGCGGTTGAGCTGTTTCCCCTCCGAGGCCCGGGGTCCGGCATCTGTCCGTCCGGTCCCGGCCCGGCGCTGCCCGCCGCGTCCCCGCCGCCGCCATGGACCTGCATTTGCACCGAGCGGATTACGTGCAGGTGACCCCGAGGGGCGGGGCGGGGCGGGGCGGGGCGGCGGTGGGCCCGGCTCCCGGAGGCCGCGCTCGGTCCTCCACTTCCACGTCCGCGCGCGGGAGCAGGGCCGGTGGCGACTGCGGGGCGGGGCGCTGCCCTCGGGGCGCCCTCCTCCCGGGCAGCTCCGGCTCGTCCGCGACGGTCCACGGCGCCCGGGAAGGACGCCGGCGCCTCGGGCTCCGACGCGCCCCCCGATCGCTCTGACCCCGAGTCCCCGGCTCCCCGTCCCCTCCCCGGAGCGCCCCTGCGCCCAGACCGCAACCGAGTTCCGATCCCCGTGGACATTCGCATGGTCCTGGGACGGAGGAGGGTCCGGGGCTCGGCCAGCGCGTCGGGCCGGGGTGCACGGGTGGCCGGTCACCTGCCAGGGCGCTGTGCTGGCGCCCCCACCGGCTCCCGCCCGCCTCCCGCTGTCACCGCGCCCTGCTTTGCTCATCAAATTAAACGCCTCTGG